AGAATTTTCAGTAAAAGAAACTATAATAAATTTAAAGTAAATTGTAGCAGGATATTGTGGAATGGTGTTCTGAGTGCGGAGAATCCAGTGAAACAGTTTCATGCTTTAATAGGCCGGCATAGACACACGTTCTTTCGCGCGGTTTATCGTGTCATCTGCAAAAACCTGTGAAAAATCATGTGCGTGAGTGAGGAGGGCTACACGCAATGATAGAATGGGAAGGGATTTCAGACGTGCTTTCATCTGGAATGTGGCGTCACTACTCAAGTACATGATAGTGCAGTTCACACCCGTGTCCAAACGCCATTCCACGTCACGGTTTTGAGGCTAGTATGAAAACATGAACGCCGCGTTGCAAGCTATCACGTTGTATATTAGTACATGACAACATTCACTTCCAAATGACATTTTTTACCCATACATATACGGTTTTTCCTTTCTAACTGATATGCCGCGCGTAATCACGTGCGAAATCATTTGAATACTTTGTCGGAACATGACGCTTTTTTTGCCACGCCGTTCTTTCGCGCGTGCAAACCGCTACATCCCAACACGCCACGATAAACCGCGCGAAATAACGTGTGTGTATGACGACCTTTTCATCTGGAATGTGACATGTGCAGTGTGCAGTTCACAACCGTGTCCACACGTCACGGTTCTGAGGCTAGTACGGAGACTAACGCCGCGTAGCGAACTATCACGTTGAAAATTAGTACATGACAACATGCACTTCCAAACGACACGATAAATGACACTTTTTACCCATACACATACGGTTTTTCCTTTCCAACTGATATGCCGCGCTTAATCACGTGCTAAATCATTTGAATACTTTGTCAAGTGTATGGAACATGACGCTTTTTTTGCCACGCCGTTCTTTCGCGCATGCAAACCGCTACATCCCAACACGCCACGATAAACCGCGCGAAATAACGTGTGTGTATGCCGGCCTATGACAGGCGCTTTTAACAGGGCTTTTCCTCTACAATATCTTAAGGTTAAAGATAAAAAAAACCTTGGATTACCTGTGGTATAAAGACCTCAGCAAAGAATTTAAGATCCTTGCATTCTATAAGAAAGTACCACAGTAACAAATAGTTTTTTGTCGCATATTTTAATCATTATAAACGAATTTATAGGAAAGTAATTAGGGTGGCAAAAGAGCTTTACTATAAATGGAGGATTGAAGGTGCAAAGAACAAAACAAAAAAGAACTGGGAAATAGTTAATCAATTGAGGGGTAAAGCCAATTCATTGCAAAATAATATTGAAATTGATCTAAGCATTCTTAATAATTTTTACTGCACAATAGGCGACCAAATAATTTCAAATTTAAATTCCAAGAAGGATCCCATAGATTATTTGGTCAATATCTATGTTCCTCAAATTTTTATTTTAGAAAGCACAAATGTAGAAGAAGTAAGGATGATTTTTAAGGAAATATTAAACAAGAATTCGGCAGGTTACGATGGAATCTCAGTGTCCTATTTTCCTTTTATCTACGCTTTCGAAGGTCATTGAGAAATTAGTGAAGAAGAGATTAATGATCTTTTTCAAGAATAACAAAATATTAAATCTTGTCCAGTTTGGTTTTCGCTCAAGTAAAAATACAGATGATGCCATTTTCTCCTTGCTCCATCAGGTTTATCAAAATATAAATTGTGGCGATGCTGTTGCAGCAATATTCTGTGATTTTTCGAAAGCATTCGATTGTGTGGATCATGGAGTGTTGCTGCGGAAACTGAGACACTATGGGTTTGGGGAGCTTACAATGAAATGGTTTTCTGCCTATCTTAAGAGAAGGATGCAAGTGGTAACAGCGGATGGCGAATACTCTGATAGATCATTTACTACAAAAGGTGTTCCACAAGGCTCTATTCTCGGACCCATTTTATTTTTGTTGTATTTGAAAGACTTAACAGCTTTATTGATTCAGGGTTCGTTTATATTTTTTGTGGATGATACTAGTCTTCTTTGGCATGGTAAAAACAGAGATGACCTCAAATTAACAGTTGATAGGGACCTGCGTGAAGTTAAACTTTGGTGTGATGCAAATTTGCTTTGTTTTAATGTAAATAAAACCAGCATGATCACCATTGGGTTTTGCTACAATGATTTGTATTTGAATGATGAAATTGTAGAAAATAAACCCCTTACAAAATTTTTAGGTCTCATCATAGACAATAAACTTAAATTTGAGGACCATATAAGGGCACTTAGTAAAAGGTTGTCTGCTGGTTGCTTTGCAATCAGAATAGTTTCCAACAAGCTTAGTTGTTCTACCACAAAAATGGTTTAGCACTCACTATTTGAATGTCTTGTGAGATATGGTATAGCTTTTTGGGGATTTACTAACAGGCAACAATTTAATTAGATATTTATTTTACAAAAGAGGGCAATTCGTTATTTGTGTAAAGTTGCAGGTCATGAACATTGTCAACTGCTATTTATTAGGGATTTTTTTTTAACTGTACCATGTTTATTCGTTTTAGAAACTGTGTGTCTTGTGCACAAGAAATATTTAGGTTTGAAAACTCGGGATATTGGGTACAACACTAGAGTAAGTTCAAACACTAATATAGGCTTACCTATACCAAAGTCTGCTTTAGCAAAACACTCAATATTCTATGAGAGCAAAAAAATGTCCAACCATCTAAGTAATGAACTTAAAACGATCAGAAACTACAAACTATTTCGTAGGAGTGTTAAGGATATTTTGTTGCAAAGGGCTTACTACAGCTTGGAGGACTACTATAGTGACACTGTATGACTATACAACCTTTTTTATTTTTGAGTACTTTTGTCTTTTATTTACATTTTATCATTTTAGTATAGCTTAAAGTATGTAATATTGCTTGGATCGCCGTACTATTTGTCAATTTTTTTTTTAACTTGTTTGTATTTGCATTGTTGTAGTATTGGTGATTTATTTCTATTTTTTTCTGTTTTACTTTTAAGTTAATGTCAATAAAATATTTTTTCTTGGATAATAAAGTATGAGTAACTATGACTATGACCAGTGGCGTATTTTGAAATTTGGCGCCCTGGGCCTTCAAGGTTTGCCGCCCTAATTTAACAAAAAAAAAAATAATGAAAAAAGATCAAAAAACAAACACTATTTATTTATCAAATATTTTTATATGTATTTTTTGGCGATACACAAATTGGTTGCCGAATTCGTTCAATGATAGGTCTGTTCTCTCAAGAGTCTCTGACAGTTTTGCAACTTGTCAGAAACAATCGCTCAGCCAAGTTACCGATTTATCTGTGCGCAAGAGTGCTTTAAAAGGAGCCTCTTAAGAGAACACATCTACATACTGTCCGACAGCCAAGCGGCTCTAAAGGCTCTAGGACCCATCAAGTGCACCTCGCAGCTAGTTTGGGAGGGTAAAAATATCCTTAAACAACTAGCTGGTAGGAACAAAATAACCCTGAAGGGCATAGAGGGCAATGAGGAGGCAGACCGTCTCGCAAAGGAAGACGCTATAACAGCTTTTCAAGGCCCAGAGCCTTTCTGCGGACTAATGAAATGCCAAACCTTCGAAAAACTGCACAAATGGGAAAGAAACCCACTGGCTCAATGGAGATCCGTCCCGAGTCTGGGACAGGCAAAACGGTTCATATCCATCTCATAGCAAAGAGATCTGAACAGCTCCTCAACATGAACAGAAGAGACATTAGAACAGTCGTTGATCTGCTTAATGGGCACTGCTTGGTGAAATATAACCTAAAAACAATAGGCAAAGCAAACGACCACTGTAGATAAAGCAAACAAGCAACAGAAACCACAGAACATTTAATTAGTGGACAGTGAATGCCCTGCACACCTCTGTAAGAGGCTGAAATACCTTGAAGGAGTACGGCTAACACTCCAATAAGGTGATAAGGTGCCCACCACCTTATCACCCAAGAAGCTGGCCTCCTTTGGGAGAAGCCTATAAATCTTGGAAACCAACTAGAAGCAGAGTCGCGCACAAAATATTGGGAGAGGTAGCAGTGCTTGAGCGGCTGGAAATAGCCGTAACGACTCCATATACAATCTACAATTCTACAATCTACCGATTAATCTTGGACCAATGGCATTGAAAACATGTATGGGTGATGTGCTTGTCACAGTTTGCAAACTGTCAGAAACTCTTGTGAGAACAGACCTATATTGACAACAACATAATTAATAGATTTTGTCTAGTGGCTTCTATCTATAACAAACAAGAATGGCTGAACTCTTCACACAGTCTTCGCGTATACAGGAACGAAGATAATTATTTTTTCTTTCATCGGATAATCGGACGGTCGCCGAATTGCCCCATTTCTTGTTACCTCATATATTAAATAATAAGTTTTAGTTTCATTTTTGTTTTGTTTTATTGGTAAATTGATAGCATTCCTAAACGCTGGGGACGCGGCTTGTGCCGCCCCTTGCAGTCCTACCGCCCCGGGCCATAGCCCCCATGGCCCTATGGTAAATACGCCACTGACTATGACTATAAGTAATACATCACTAATGGTTTTTAGAGCTACAGACTTTAAGAACAATTTGGCAACAAAGAAACAAAATACTTGGGTTCATTGTCATTCATTGTAGGTAATAAAAGTTTACTAATGACAAATTTGGCATCCTCACATTTTTAGGACTCAGACGTCACAGTTCTATCCTGCGTTTTCGCAGCTGTTTACAAATTCAAATATTTCAAATATTCAAATATTCAAATTTTCAAAATAACGCGTATACAGATGTTCTTATTAGAATGACTTAAAAAAATAATTAATCATTATGATCAAATACGTTACATAAAATATTATGAAATAGAATTAGTTTTGAGCATGACATGCAAACTTTCTATAGAGAAAGTAAACTAGTGTCTGTCCAATACAGAAAAGTACCACTTTGCCACACTAGTTAGGAAAACAATCGAACATCAGTTGGCACCAATTTCAAAACCCTTTGCCAACTAAATCTCTGACCTAAAAATACCCTTTCAAATAAAACGCAAAATTACCTTGCAATTCAAAATACCCGTAGTTTTACCCTTCATTTGAATAATCAATTGAGCTTCCAAATCAATTTCCCTACAAAAAAAAAGAGAATTTGTTGTTAAAAAAAAAATTCAACCAAATCATTCATGCATGCAATTCATTGTTACCTTTGGTTAAAGGGCCTGACACGTACGGCCACTTTAACTGAAGCCATTTCGTTCCTATATTAATCTATGTTCACAAGTTTTTAATTAATTCAAAACTCATTTTAAATTAAAATAAATATGAAATATTTTTATCTGGAAATCAAATAGGACAAGAACTGTCACACCACACCATAACACAACATCAACAACAAATAAAATATTTTCTTCTTTTTTTGTTGCTTTTTGTAGTGGCCTTAGCTACCGGGGCCTGATACATTGTCATAGTTGTCAACTTGTGACGTCTCATACTCATAACAAACAAAAAGTTTTTATTTTAAAATTCAAATTATTTTCATATTCTGTTGATTCAAAGTTAAAAATGTTTATTAAATCATGACGCTTTTAAAAATTTATTCCTTAAACGACACTGAACAGTTACATATCTTGGCAAGCTTAGGAGTAGGCGAGCATATAGTTGGAAGAGGAGGACTTTTACGTGTAAGTGATTTCTCTTTTTAATATCCTGTTGCTTTTTAAAATTATTACTTTACAGGTAACAGATCAAAGAGTTTCACGAAAACACGCAGTCATAAACGTATCTCCTGAAATAATCACTTTAACTTCGGTAAGTGCTCAATCAAGTATACGGGGTGCAAGGGGTGAGCAGATCCATACATTTTGTACATCTCCTGCCTGAAGCACAATTATTTAAGTCCTGGTCAGTCCTACCAAGTCAAGTCCTGCAAAGTCCAATCAGGTCCTGTTAGGTCCTGCAAAGTATACTGTAATAAGATGAAAGATGTAAATGTGGAAGACTAATAAGGCTCAGTTATAAATCTCGGTTCAAAATAAAGTTCAACTGACTGGTACTTGGTACTTGAGCTTTACCATTTAAAGGACTATCCACACACATCAGGTCCGTATCAGTGCTGTTTCAGTTCAGTATCAGTTACAGTGAAAAATAAAATATCGTTGCCTAATCTCAAATGAACCTTTTTAGGCAAGTCCGGCGCAGTGACGTTTTTTACCATCAGTGCTGCCTCAGTGTCCATTCCGTGTTTTTTTATTAAAGTCGGCAACGATATTTTGTGTATTTCACTGACGGAAATCGATTGGAATTTGCGTTTGATCTCTGAATTCTGACATTTCACTAAGAGCATGGTACGTACTACAGACAGAATTCTATCAATTTTGACAGCAATGCATTTCAAATGGGAGAGTTCAAGTTCCAGTCAACAACAGGGCCTATATATCATTCCTGACAAGTCCTGTCAGCTCCTGCCAAGTCTTGTCAAGTCTTCCAAGGTCCTGTCAAGTCTTCCAAGGTTCTATCAAATCCTGCAAGGCCCTGTCAAGCAGTGAATATCATATCTGATAAGTCCTGCCAAATCCTGTATGGGTCTTGTCAAGTCCTAAAGGCGAAGGTTTGTTAGGAGAGTACGCGTCGCACAACCGACCACAGAACATATCACCTCTAGAAAAGTATCTGCAATGTTATGTACCGGTTATGAATTACAGCGCCATCGTTGACTGAAAACCCAACTAATCGAGCATTCTTGACAAAAAGGCGAATTGATTTTTTCATATATTTTTATTATTTTTAAATAATTTTTAATGTTCAACTGCATTTGGCTTGCTGACTCCTTTTAGCTCTTTTCGCCTCATTTTTTTGAAAACTATGACTGGCAGGAAGTTTCCGATGTCAAACATAGTGCAAAAAGAGTTAGTAACTTAGCAAGAGACACGCAACTATAGGTAGATCGCAAAGTAAATACGGATAATAAATACAAATAGGAACGAAACGAAACAAACGAGTAAATACAAAAAAATACGAACGAAAATTAGGGTTTTTTTCAACCAAAACTTTTTAAATTTTCACTTTAACGCGCGTGGGGACCATAGTTTACAACAACACAATTTAAAAATTCAAATTTTGACTTTTAAAATGACAAAATAAATGACAAACAGTGTGGATAATGTTACGGAACTTCCGGTCGAATATATTTTTTTTTATTAACCCGGAATTTCCGAATTATTATTTTATTTATTATTCGTCCGGAAAATAATACACCATGTACCCCTGCAATGACACAATCATTAATCCCCATCCCCCCAGGCCCCATTGTGCTGATGCTGGCGCCGCGCCGCCAATTTCGAATTTATACACGTGTAGAATTTAAACTTTTTAAACAGAAAAGCAAAAATTTACACTTTTTTTACGAAATTTCGTAAAAAGTTTGTGAATTCACATTTTTTTTACGAAACTTCGTAAAAAGTAGTTTTGTTAAGTTTGAATTAATTTGGGTTAGTATTGGATTAGTTTGGGTTGGTTCAGGTTAATTTGGGTTAGTTTCAGTTAGTTAGGGTTAGTTTTGGATTAGTTGGAGTTAGTTTGGGTTGGTATTGGATTACTTTGGGTTGGTTCAAGTTAGTTTGGGTTAATTTCAGTTAGTTTGGGTTAGTATTGGATTAGTTTGAATTAGTTCCGGTTAGTTCGAGTTAGTTTGGGTTGGGTTAGTTTGGGTTAGTTTAAGTTAGTTTGAGTTAGTTTGGGTTAGTTCGGGTTAGTTGGATTAGTTTTGGTTAGTTTGGGTTAGTTCGGGTTAGTTTGGGTTCGTTTGAGTTAGTTTGGGTGAGTTAGTGGGAATTTCGCAAAAAGTTAGTGAATTCGCAGATTTTTCACAGAAAAGCCAAATTTACATTTTTTTTACGAAATTTTGTAGAAAAACGTGTGTGGCTTTTGTGTAAAAAAAGTGTAAGTTCACAAACAAACTTTAGTTTGTGAACTCACACCAAAGTTTGTTTGTGAACTCACACTTTTTTTACAGAAAAGCCATAGGTAATATAAGTATTTACACTTTTTTTTACGAATTTCCGTAAAAAGTTTGTGAATTCACACTTTTTTCACAGAAAAGCCAAATTTACACTTTTTTTACGAAATTTCATAAAAAAAGTGTGACTTTACAAACTTTTTACGAAATTTCGTGAAAAAATGTAAATTTGGCTTTTCTGTGAAAAAAAACGTGTGAATTCACAAACTAACTTTTGCTCCTGTATCCGATAGATTTTTAATTTTTTTTTTTGAAATTCGATATTTGATTCGATTTTTTTTTTTAAATTTTCAAACCGTCCTAACTCGAAAACGAAAAGCTTGGGAGTAAAACTTTAAATGTAAAACTTATAGATCTCGTCGAGTACTACAAAAAAGCCTATAAGAAGTATCCCTCCAGGGGGCACTGTTTTCGAGAAAATCGACCTCGAAAATTTTAACAAAATCACAAGAAATTTCAACTGTGACGGCCAATATCTCAAAGACAAAAACGGCCTGGAATCTCAGTTAAAAAAACATTTTGTAGATAATTTCATCCTCTTTCAAATGAGATATGACTCGAAACGATCGGTTGAGAAATAGCGGAGTTATAGGCGAAAAAGTGGCCTCGTGTCGGATACCCACAACTTTTTTCTGATCAAAATCGAAATTTCCTTTTTTGGAGCCTGGGGATCGTTTTCTGACTTTTGTTTCTTGAAAAAAAGAAAAGATAAAAATTTTTGATATTGACAGTTGTTAAAATTAAAAAAAAACACATGGGCGTATACATTTAGCTTCGGCGAACACGTAGGAAATACTGAAAAAATTCCATGGCCAACTTTGACAGCCGTCAATGTCAAAAATATGACAAGCAGGTTTAATATCAAAAAAAAGCATTCCACCACGCATAATATTTTTTCGAAGTTTCAAGTCGTGTATATATGTATATACATATATCGATAATAATCCGGAAAAAATGAAATTCAAAACTGGCGCTTACGTGGCATAACATAACCTACGCTCAAATGTGTCATCGCACAAGTAAAAAAAAATTCAGGCACACTGAAGTAAAAAAACAATCCGGACGAATAATAATATAATAATAATCCGGAAATTCCGGGCTAATAAAAAAAAAATTCAACCGGAAGATCCGGGTGATTAGGGACACCCAATGACAAAACCAACCAACACAAATCACTGTCAACACCACAGATACCTGTAAATTTCTCTTATCTCCTGACAGTGTCGCCATCGTTGAATGAAAACCTAACTAAAAACCTTCGTCGCGATTCTCCCATTTGAGATATTTTTCTATAGGTGATATGTTCTGTGCAACTGACAACGTAAACGTCGTCATACCTGAACCAATGACGAGATTAACGTTGTCAGTTGTGCGTCGCGTACTATCCATAGAGAAATATAATAAACCAAGGTGAGAGTAACCAATTCTGAGGTGCGACACTGGCATCATATCGATACTAGCGCCACTATCCACTACAAGACCAACTTAAATAATATTTGGCGGGCTTTTTGAACTTTTAGATTATAGTCTTGGTATTTTTGAGATAGGAATCAGCCCAGCGTTTTTCCGCAGTCGACAGGAAAAGAAATGCGGGAAAACGCTGGCCTGGAAATAAAAATCAATAATCAAAAAATGTCTATGAAGTAATCTATATATTCTGATCAAAACATCTCACTTTCCACTAATAATAGGTTAGTATTTAATAGATATTATTATTTATGCATGAACTTAACGATTTTCACATTGTAAATCTTACCAGAATCATGTATTTTTAATAAACTAATTAATTTCAGGTTCACTTGACACTTATTTGTGTCAGTTTTGAAAAAAGAAAATGTCATTTTATAGGTTAGAAATCGCAATGTAAAATAAATAAAAAACCCTATGTCCTCTCTTCCTTTATTATCATATATGTTAAAAAGAGACAGATATAAGAATGGGAGGCGATGTTAGAATGGTCAGATAGTTCCAAGCTATACTAGCGCCACCATGTGCTACAAGAAATATGTTGCCACTTGGCGCATATGAATCGGTAACTCTTACCTTGGTTTATTATATTTCTCTATGGTACTATCCTAACAAACCGTACCTTAAGTCCTACAAGGTGTATCTGATTTTGTACATCTCCTGCTGGATCTGCTCACCCCTCGACAGGGTGTTTGTGAACTGAATGTCAATATTTAAGGGGGTGATTTCCGATGCCCTAAACTTCTTAACTTTTGAGGTACAGAGTGACAAAAATAAATCATTTATTTATGGGTGTCCGGTGTCCCTAATCACCCGGATCTTCCAGTTGAATATTTTTTTTTTTATTAATCCGAAATTTCCGGATTATTATTATATTATTATTCGTCCGGATTGTTTATTTACTTGTGTACCAATTTACCAGTAGTCCAGTACACTTATAACCAGTTTAAATGAACTGCAACGAAACTAACCAAAAATATGCAAACTAGCCCAAACTAACCCGTCCACGTAATGTGTACTAGTCCTTAGTCCTTGCATTTTCGAAAAAATTCAAATATCGAATTTAAAAAAAAAAAAATTCTATCGGATAGAGGAGCAAAAAATACGTCGAAAAGTTAATTTGACCCTTCTCACATTTTAAGGCCGAAAAAAACTAAAAAAGGAAATTTCGATTTTGATCAGAAAAAAATTGTGGGTATCCGACACGAGACCACTTTTTCGCCTATAACTCTGCTATTTCTTAACCGATCGTTTCGAGTCATATCTCATTTGAAAGAGGATAAAATATTTTTTTATTGAGATTCCAGACCGTTTTTGTCTTTGAGATATTGGCCGTCAAAGTTGAAATTTCTTGTAATTTTGTTAAAATTTTCGAGGTCGATTTTCTCGAAAACGGTGCCCCGTGGAGGGATACTTCTTATAGGCTTTTTTGTAGTACTCGACGAGATCTATAAGTTTTATATTTGAAGTTTTTCTCCCAAGCTTTTCGTTTTTGAGTTAGGACGGTTTGAAAATTGAAAAAAAAAAATCGAAGGCTTTTGAATTTTTTTGTCGAAAAAATTCAAATATTGAATTCCAAAAAACAAAAAATCTATCGGATAGAGGAGCAAAAAATGAGACGAAAGGGGGAAGAAAAGTGGGGCGTAACCTAAGAATATTCACTGACACCTCAACCACAACTGACATCGCTTGATGACAGCCATGTCTTTAGGTTCAGTGGCACCGAAAACACCAAGGAAATGAACCAATAAAATTATTAGATTTTTTTTTTAAGTTTCGCAAATAACCACGCCACTATGCTGTCGTTCAGGCTCTTACCTTAAGCTCTAACCAATAGAATCATGCCTCTGAATAATCACGCCTCTCCACATCCATCATTTCGCAATGTTGCCGGATTTTTTTTCTTTTTTAAAATGCCACATATGCCTACATAGGAAAAAAAATATGTCACCAACACAACAAGCAGCAAATTCTATAGCATTTCGCCGTTTGGCTAGCCAGACTAATACATGGTGTATTATTTTCCAGACGAATAATAATAAAATAATAATTCGGAAATTCCGGGTTAATAAAAAAAAATATTCGACCGGAAGTTCCATAAGATTATCCACACTGTTTATTTATACAGTATTAGTAACAGTAAAATATTAAAACACGGCCGACTGTAAAGCCATTTATAATTATTCATTTACCAAACTTATCAGTGAAACCTAATGGTTATTTTCATATCTGTTTCTTATGTTTTTAAGTTTTAAGTTACTGTTACTGATACTGACACTATAAATCCAGTTAAACACCACTTTGGATATTTCAACAAAATTTTGAGCTATAAAATTTTATTTAACACATATTTATAAAGAATTTAATGCTCTTTTTAACGATATATAATTTATTCCAATTTACCCAAATTCCATTTAAGATGGGAGCAATTATCCCTAACCTTGTCAGGATTTGAAAAAAATTCCAGAGCCCAAATTGAATTTTTCTTTTGAAATTGTCATTTGGAAATGATATTGATGGTTTACATATACAGAGTTGGTGAAAAGTACTGCAACACTTAAATATATTCAAAACCGCTTAAGCCGCGTTCACACAATTCGGAATCTGACAGTTCTTGGATATGCGGAATTCAACAGTGCTATTGGCAATGTTGCCAGATTTCCCAGTTTTGCACTAGACGTAGTCTTTTTGTTATCTTAAATAGAATGCTCCATTTATTTTTATTGCAATGAATTAGGCGCGCCAAATTTGATAAGATTCCAAACTTTCAGAATTTTATCGCTACTAGTTGCTGAAATATGACAACACCGTATTTTCGGTGAAAAGTATAGCAACGCTTGAATATCTTCAAACGCCGCTTAAGCTCGTACACTAAATTCGGTATCTGGGAATTTATGGGCAAGCGAAATTCAACTGTGATATCGGCATTGTTGCCAAGTTTCCCAGTTTCGCGCTACATGTAGTATTTTTGTTATCCTAAATAAAATGCCCCATTTATTTTTATTGCAATGAATTGGTCCAAATTTTAATGAGATTCCAAATTTTCAATATGCTTCTTTTACTGTTAGATACTACTATAGTGAAAATCATTCTGGGATAGTTACCTACCTTCCTACCTATTTCAGGAAGAGCCGCAAAAATATCTGAAAAGTAATGTGTATTTAAAAAAAAAAAAAGAAATACTATAAGCCACAAGCAAGACTACGTGTAGGGCGAAACTTGGCAACAATGCCGATATCACAGTTTACCGTTCACTGAAAATGCGATGTTGGCATATTTCAGCAACTAGTGGAGAAAGAATTCCGAAAATTTTGGAATCTTATCAAATTTGACAAGTTCAATTTATTGCTATAAAAATAAATGGGGCATTCTATCCAAGATGACAACGCGTAGCGCAAAACTGGGAAATCTGACAACAATGCCGATATCACGGTTGAATTTCGCTTGCCCAAAAACCCCTAGATACCAAATTTTGTGAACATGCTTAAGCGGCGTTTAAAGATATTCAAGTGCTGCAATACTTTTCACCGAAAATACGGTGTTATCATATTTCAACAACTAGTAGAGATAGAATTCTGGAAATTTGTAGTCTTATCAAATTTGGCACGCCCAATTCATTGCAATAAAAATAAAAGGGGCATTCTATTTGAAATAACAAAAAGACTATGTGTAGCGCCAAACTGGGAAATCTGGCAACATTGCCAATGGCACTGTTGAATTCCGCATATCTAAAAACTGTCAGATTCCGAATTGTGTGAACGCGGCTTAAGCAGTTTTGAAGATATTTAAGTTTTGCAGTACTTTTTACTAACCCTGTATAGCTTTCTTCTCAAAATTGACCTTAAAATCGCCCCCTATAAAATATTGACATTCAATTGGAAAACGAAAACACCCTCTAATTAACTCTAATTATTATTAGGTCCACATAAATCCATGTTTTTTCAAAAAAGCCAACGACAACCGACTGAATGTAATTAGAAAAGATACAAATCACGAGTTGAGCGATGGCGATACATTTGGTCTACTACCAACAGAATATTGGTTCACGGTACTAATTCAAAGAGACAAGGAACCTCAAATAAACGGCAAACGTCCAAACGATGAAAACTGCGAAAATCTAGAACTCAAAAAAGCAAAATTATCATCACCAAATCCAAATGAAGCTTCAACAAGTGGAACAAATGACCAAAGTAGTACAATAAATCTTTCAGAACCACAAACAAATTCTAACAACTTGCCTGTTATTACTAATGTTAGGAGTTTAGCACCTCCTGACATTGATAATCAACTAGAGCCAATTAAAACTGAAATAAAAAACGAAGATTTGAGCACTGAAAGTCCACAAGATATGAAACCAAAAATAGAAAATGTTATTGATGCAAATGTGGAAATTAAACAAGAAACTCCTGAGGCTGAAGGACAAGAAGTTGAAGTCAAGATTGAACCTTTTGATTTGCCAACGACTAGTGCAGGATCTGCAAGTGCAATACCAATAATTCCAATTGTAACACCAATAACTCCAATTGTAACACCAATAACTCCAATTGTAATACCAATAACTGCTCCAGTTAGACCAAAAAGAGAAAAGTGTTGGTATGCAGCAACATGTTTTAGGTAAGGTTTACATTTATTTATTTCTAAATCAAATAAAATCACTTACATGTTGTTTAAATTGTAGTAAAAAAAAACTCTTAACTTTATTTCAGAGGTCTAAATCAACTTTCACTTGATTTTACCTTGTAAAAGAGACTTTAATGTATAGTTTTAGAAAGTTCCAAGTCACTGTGAAACCCGGAAACAGTTTTTAGAGGCAATTATATAGACATTGTAGTTTTTTCAAGTGTCGGTATAGAAAAAATATCTCAAAATTATTTTCCAGTTCAAGAACAACTTCCAGATAACTTTATTTTATAAAACGAACTCTATAGTTGAAGAAATTTTGAAGTCAATTTAGTAGATGAAAGGTGGCCTCACTCACTCCATTTTTCAGTCTCACATTTCAAAGTTTTTCTGGAGAACTAATTAAGAGAAAATTTTCAAATTTTTCCAATGGAAAATAGCAACATAAAGAATCTTGAAAATCAGCTTACAAAAGCTAAATTGAATGAAAATACAGTCTCCCACATTGGCACATTTCAAAGGTTTCCTGGATAACTGATGAAGGGAAAAATTTCCAACTTTTTGCATGTAAAAAGGAAAGTTAGGAGCTCATTTTCCCAAAATTTCAAATTATTCCAGTAGTGGAAACTAACAACATAAAGAATCTTGGAAATCAACTTACAAAAACTGAATAAATTGAAAATACTTTCTGGAAAAGTGATGAAAGGAAAATTTTGAAACTTTTTGCATGTAAAAAGGAAGGTTACAATTTCTTTTTCCCAAAATTTTTCCAGTACAAAATAACAACACGAAAAAATCTTGAAAATCAACTTACAAAAACCAAATGAATAGAAAATACTTTCTTTCACACAAAGGGGAAAATTTGAAACTTTTTCCACAATGTAAGCACAATTTTCCTTCTGTTCCAGATTTTTTTTCCAACAATAAATAATCAAGTTTTCTTCTACGATTAGGTACCTACTTACAACTTTCGAGTTTCTCAAAATATTAACCTGAAACTTATAGAGAATATATTGTATATCCAATCATTTTTCTGCTCAATCTATGTTTCAGAATGTTCTAATTTTAGTTGAAAAATTGAATTTTATTCAGACATTGAAGCACATTTTGTGTCTAAATTTCAATAAGATTTCAACTTATCCAGGCTCCAATTGAAGATATTTATTGAATTTAAGTGTGATATGTTTTCAGGAAAAATCCCAGTCACAGAGAACAATTCAGCCATCCAGGAGACAATGACTACGCTTCAGATCCGGACGAAGATCGTCCAGATTGTCCATACGGTGCCAGTTGCTACAGAAAAAACCCCGAACACAGGAAAGAGTACAAACACAGCACAACAAAACCTGCACCAAAACCAAGTAATAATGAGAGATTTTTTTGTCCTTGTTGTCCACATTGTCAGAGTAAAATGCACTCGAAACCTGATTATGAAAGCGATGTTGACGATGATTGATTAATTTATTAAGTTTTAAAATAAATAAAGATTTTAATTTGAATATTTTTTTGCCTATTAAATGTGATTAAAAAAAAAGTGCAATCCTAAAGAAATTCATAAGGTAAGTATATTTGATTATATACTTGCCTTATAAATTTCTCAATTAGTATAAAGCAAGATATACATACATATAAAATTTAAATTTTCAGATACAGCAACAGCCCAAAAAAGGCCAACTACCAAAAAAAATCCACCTCAAACTCCTGAGGATGACGATTTAGATGATAGTTATGATTACAATGATCCGTTTATAAATGACGCATCTAGTGACGATTATCAACCAAGTGCCAGCATCAATAGCAGCGATACTGATTTGGAAGATTCTCAGGAAATTGATGAAGAGTCTCAGGAATTAAAGCGCACAATTCGTGAAGCCAAAAAGTTTACTAAAACGAAAAAATAGACTTGTTGGTTGATTATTAATTTCTATAGCTCATTAAAATTTCCTCATGAATTAATGAAACAACAAGATTTTTTTTAAAAAAAGTTGTAAAATTTATTTTTTGGGAATATATACTAAAAAAATAAAATATAAATACCTAAAAAAAAAAAGTCAATCGTCATCGTCTATAACAATACAGTCAATTGGTTCAGATTTAATTTGTACATTGCCACCGCAAAGGTGTTTTTCTGACTTGCTATACAAATTATTCTTGTGAGTCTCTTTAACTTTTTTAAAATGACTCAAACTGTGATTTGCCACTTCATCTTCTGTCCCCTCAAAGTTGCATCTATCACAGCTGATGATTTTTTTGCCATTTGCGAAAACTTCCATAATTTTTAAATCTGATGAAGCTGAAGACGATGATGGCGATACTGGTTCATTGGGCAACGATTTTTCTATTTTCATTATGTTTGGAAATGTGTTGCAGATTATCGAATGACGTTTGAATTGGGATTTCGTTTTACGTTTTGTATAACATAGGCAAGGCGAATTGGGTTTTTTGGTTCGTTCTGGTTTTATTGAATCTGTTGATGATTCTTGTTCGTAGATGGCATCTTCGTCGATTACTAGCTTGCCTGGACCGTAAGTGTCATTGTGGTTGCTGAAAATATGAAAAATAAGAAATTGTTAATAGGAGGGTATTATTTCTGACCTCAAATCAGTTACATAACTGGTACCAAGGCCTTTAACTAAAATAATTATAAACAGAAAATATAGATCTAAATTAAAATATTTAAAGAGATAACTGAGTTATTCCAAAATAAGGACTTCTAATAAACATTTTCAATTTCTATCATTGAAAAGTCTTTTGAAATTATGGTATACTGCATTTTCTTGTCCTTCTAATATTCTGGATGGAACTTTGTTGTAGGTTTGTATACATCTATAGATAAGAGAGTTCTGGCCCTTCTTATTTCTAGCATAGGTATTTCTAATTTGTTCTCTCATTTTAAGATTGTAGTTGTGATAGTCTCTATTCAGTGTGACCTGTACATTTATTTTAATTAGGTGGTTTTGTATTTTGTATATAAGTTTTACCTGCTCAAACATCTTGAACAGAGGGCCGGTATTCTGGTTCTCGAAAACGCTCACCGCTTTTCAGTCGCTCGGCACTTCTAATGTAAATTACCATTAAAAGTGCCGAGCGACTAAAAAGCGGTGAGCGTTTTCGGGAACGAGAATACCAGCCCTGATCAATTTTTAAGTAGGGATACTGCCTGTATAGTCTTTCACTGGGTGTATAACAGTGCCTAGAGAATATTGTTTTTATTGATTTGTTTTGCAGTCTTTGTAGCTGTTTTATCTGTTCCCGGGTAGCATTTCCATAGCATGGTATCATATACCTGAAGTGTGGCTCAATGAAACTATTATAAATTGAATATTTTGAGTTTTCATTCAAAATATGTCTACACCTCCTCACAAGAATAGAGCAATTTTTGCATGAATACTTTCAATGTATGCTCTCTATGTCAGTTTGTCTGTTATTATAAAACCTAAGTATTTATATTGCTCTACTTTCTTGAGAATTTTGCCATGTTGGGCTTATCTTTCTTTTTCCCACCTGATGTAGGACCATATAGACTGTCTTTTCAACATTTATACTGAATTTATTGTAGGAGAGCCAATCAAAATAGCGTACTAAATTTTCATTCACAATATTTTCAAGTTCTTTTCCATTATCTCCAGAATATATGAAGACAGTATTATCATAAAATTTCAAACATTTAGCCCTCAATTCAGCATACTTCAGACATATAGAAGGTACTCTAAAGGTCCTAGTACTGAGCCTTGGGCAATACCGACAGATAAAGTTTCAGTGCTGCTCATTTCATCATTAACTTGGGTGCACTGTTTTCTGCCCACTAAGTATGTTTTCAGCAAGTTATGGCATGTCCCTTGAAATCCAATATCCGCAGTATCAAATGCTTTTCACAAACACACTTACAACTTATCTGTTTTGATTAAGTTCAATTGAAATATATCCTAGAAGATCCACTGTTACCCCAAGTGTACTACTTGTTTTTTGAGAACCATACTGGTGACTATCGAAGTTGAAGTTTGTAATAATGAATGTGACAAGCCTGGTTTTTATAATATTTTCTGTAATCCTGCTAAATGTACTCAGCAATGATATTGGTCGGTAATACAATACACATATGAGGCTCTACGAATGATTATTTTGGCTCGACGGTTTATGTTACAACTTAGTTTGACGTTGCCAAATCAAGCTCCACAATAATGTGATAAATAAATATGTTACCGGCTTTGTTGAATTGTCATTTTATTCCTACACTTTATTTTTTCCCAAGATAGATTTTAACATTGAAAACTTTGAAACATAAACAATAACGCTTGACCCTGATTGATCGCAAAATGAGGTGTGTCTGCAGGTTGACATCAAGTTTACAATAGCGGCCAATAAGTGGCATTAGCGGCATTGTTTATGTTTCAAAGTTGACAATGCCAAAATCTATCTTGGGAAAAAATAAAGTATAGATAAAATTGTACTATTTCCAAGGATGGTAAACACCCGGATTTTTGGAAATTTCTATTGGGTCATTGGGATTGTTTTTGTGATTACTTAACCAGACAAAATTGTATATTTATTTCAACAGTTTTGGCACATGAGAAGCTTAAAAATTGAAATTATCGAACATTGAATTTTTTTTTTAAATTGCACCGAGACAGTTTTTGCTTCACAACACTGTTAATTTTCATCCAATTTCAACGCAATTAAACTCTATACAAACTTGTTGATAAGATTTTAATGTTGTTTTTAGTAGTTTTGCAGCTGAGAAGCTTCAAAATTGAATTTATCGAACATTGGAGAATTTCCAAAAATGATGCTAAGACAGTTTTTGCCTCATAGCTCCGTTAATTTTCATCCGTTTTCAATGCAGTGCTGCCACTTCTGACAGAATGAAGTCGTTTTAAATCAGTTGCTAGGCGGTTGCGTCATATGACGTCATTCCGCCACAATTTTCTTAGGTATATAAAACCAGTCAATAAATTTGGTCATAATTTTATTGTGCAATGTGATTCACATTTCTCCGTAGGCAAATCAGGGAATCATAGTTAAACCTTAATTTTATGTAGTAATCTGTAAAAATTTCAAGTTTTCAATGTACTATCATATATTGGGCGGTTTGATTGAAAAGAGTACAGTAGAACCGCGATTATCCAAGTCACAATTATCTGAGCTCTGGATTAACCGAGCCAGTCTAAAGACCCAAAAATCCTGATTATCCGAAGTTCGCATGTCCATACTCCGTATTAATCGAGTCTCTAGAATATACAGGGTGTTTTTTTTATATATTGACACTCCACCTACAGCCTTTACCTTTACAGGTAGAAGAAAGGTGTCAATACAAAAGTTGTACAGTTTTGGCTGAATTTTTAGAAACCCATGATCAGAAACAAAATTTGAATGTCAGAAATGTAAAATTTTGCATGCTTCCAGCTTTTTTTCGAATGGTATGCCCTATATTTCATTCTATATTCCTGAAAAGCACAATGCCCCGGTTCCAAAAATATATAGTTTGTATATATTTGATTAAACAGTCTCTCATACATTCAGCTCCAAAAATTGTAAAAATACTATCCTACCAGTGAAAGCTATAGGTAAAATTTGAGGTTTCTCTGATGGTATTTTTAAAGTTTTTAGAGAACCAAATATGTTGGAGACGGCTCAACCAAATACAGAAAAACTATATAGTTTTGGAATCGGGAAATTGTGCTCTTTAAGAATATAGAACCAAATATAGAGCATCTCATTTGAAAAAAGCTGAAAGCATGTAACATGTCACATTTCTAACATTCAATTTTTGTTTCTGACCATGGATTCTAAAAATTTAGCCAATACTGTACAACTTTTGTATTTACACTTTTCATCTACTTGTAAAGGTGAAGGCTATAGGTGGGATGTTGCGGAATTTATACTAGTGGACCTCTGCGGGACGAGTTCCGCAACCATCTATTCATTAATATGTTGTGTAATTACGATACTAACCTGACTCACTCACATGTGAGTTATTTTCATTAGTTTAAAAAGTACACGCTTCAGGTAAATGTCTTATTTCACAGGTAAATGTCTTATTTCAATAGTTCAACAGTATATTGGTGAGTAGGTCCACCCATAAGTTCTGTAATAATCCACGTTTTATCAATTTGCCTTTCAACAGGAATTAGTAATGTTACTTAAACCAAACTAGTAATATAATGTGACAAGTTATTCAAGTACAAACGAATGGATTGTTGCGGAACTTAGGGCTGGACCTCGCGAGTTTCGCAGCCATCTTTTCACCAATATGTTATTCAAGTACAATACTTACCTGATTCACTCAGTTGTGAATTTTTCACATAAGTTCAAAAACTACACGTTTCAGGTGAGTGTCGTATTTGAACAGTTCAACAGTATATTGGTGAGTAGATGGCTACGGAACTCACTGCACTCGTCCCGCAGAGGTCCACCCATAAGTTCCGCATTAATCCACTTTTGTAATGCTTCCAGCTTTTTTCAAATAGGATGCTCTATATTTCATTCTATATTCTTGAAGAGCACAATGCCCCAATCTATATTTGATTGAGCAATCTTTCATATATTCGGCTCCAAAAATTGTGAAAATACTATCCTACTACTGATTTTGTGAATCATTTTACCTGTACAGCTGAAAGGTATAGGTAAAATTTGAGGCACTTGGTTTCTCTGATAGTATTTTTAAAATTTTTAGAACCAAATATAGCTCCCATATAAATATAGATCCCAAATAACTATATAGTTTTGGGATCGGGAAATTGTGCTCTTTTGAAAAAAGCTGAAAGTCACTCAAATGATAGTTCATGAAAATCTAAGATAGGAATGTAAAATCGGGTTTTCTCTAAAATTAACCGTTCAGGTTTTACAGCCTGTCAAAGTTGCAAAAAGTCAATTTTCAACTGTCAATATTTCCAAAACAGTTGAACCTAGGTATAGGGTATATCACATGAAATCAGCTCAGAATTTTACGTAGAATCCAAATATGCAATCACATACAGGGTATTCCATTTAAAATAGCGATGTTGCCACTGGTTAAGAGTAGAAGCGACAACACCGCATAAACAAAAATATTTTTAAAGTGTAGATCATGGTCGTTTATTCCGGTTGCCAAATTTTCAAAAAGATCCGCTTTTTAGTTCTCCATGAATGTCTAATACGCCATCCACCGTGGGACACCCTGTATGTTATCGTTTTGACATGTTTCAAGGATTTTAAATTTTTTCAGTAGAAAACTCATTGAACCTTGCAGATCAGTTTTTTTGGCAAATAGTGCCTCCTTCAAGATTTTATGCTTAAGTGCTTATTGTAGCTACATGAACATTTGACAACACCGCCATTTACCATGTAATGATCTCACAACAAAATAGCATGCATTCGAATTGAAAATTTCAAATATTTAATTTGCAAATACATCAAAAACTGGATCGTTTTGGGTTACCCACAATATAATGCAAAAAATGTGCAAGGAAAGTAACCTTATTATTTTTGTCCAATTAATAATTACCTTATTGTTGATACTACTTGTTTCAGACCATTAACTGGAATAAGTTCTGGAACAGGCTTGGGACTCTTGGGAGTTTGTGATGTTGATGGTCTGACAACAGTTTCAGGCTGTTTTCCTTTAACAACATTGGTTTTACTTGGCTCTTGCCCTTTAAAAAGATTCTACAATAATTAAATTATTAATTATTATACAAAAAAAGTTATAAAAATTCTTACAAAGTCTACCATGCTTGGTAAACGATTTTTTTCTCTCATTGCTTCTACTTCTTTGTCTATCAAATTTGCATCTAAATCGTTGTACTCTTTTTGTAGAGTGGCTATTTCTGCAAGTATTGATTGTAAAGTGGGGTCTGTTTTGAATTGGTGTTGCAAGAATTTGATTCCGTCACTATTTGAGTGGTTTTTATTAAATAAAGGATCTTCTTCATTATTTTCAGGTGGTTGTGATTTTTTATTTGTAGTTTTTGGAGTCAATAGCTGAGTCCTTAACAGGGAATTTTTTACACTACCACTACTAGAACTAGAATCATTTCCATTAACTATTGGTGTAGAATTATTAGTTGTTTTAGATTCTTGTTTAATTTTCCTTTTTAATAAATCTCGTATTTTAGCATTTACTTGTTGTTTCCTTTCTTGTTGTTGTTGTTTGTGAATATTAAGGTAATAATTTACAAGTTCTCTTTTAAAAGGCCTACCATTTATCGATACAGTTTTAGGATCTAAATGCACAATATGAAGTGTTTTGTTGTTGTCTAATTTAACCATTACTTCTTTTCGATATTTTGTATTTATGTTGTTGGTTGATGTTGACCCAACTTCTTCTGAATCTTGTACAGGAGCAGATTTTACCTGAGAGGTTTGAGGAGGTGTTTTTCTTCTGTTATCACTAGCCATTATTTGGAATCCAGTCAATATTTAATATTCTCCTCTAAACAGGTTTCGGTTTTATTGTTTACCATTGTTAGTACTTGAAAGTACTCATTGTAATTATGTTTTTGTTTATAATTTCAAATACATTTACTTAAGTAAGTGAAAACCTTATTATAATAATTTGTAAATTATTGTTAATTTCAAACTGTGTTTTGTTGGTGATAAGGATGGAGCATCGCTGCTTCCCACGGAAATGCCCAAGACTACCATCATATCATTATGGAAAAGGTTTGACATTGACACACATTGGTTATTGGTGTAGAGGAGGGCTTATCGATACGTCGTCTCTGATGAAGGTTCATATCGATACGACTATTTTGTTTCGATGTTCTTGTGAAATGAGAGCCGCTTTCCAGTATGGGAGTTTGACGCCCGGAGCTACTCGGGGCGTTGAGCCCCCGAGCTGTACGTACGCGTCAACCTGTCAGCTGTCACTTCCGTGGGTGGCTATTTATTTATTTATGTATCAAGGGAATTATGCAGGTGTTAATACCCCAGGGCAACGTTTGTGTCCCGAGGGCCTCCGGCCCGAGGGACACCAATTGCCCGTGGGTATTATCCTGATAATTCCCGTGGTACATAGATAATTTTATATCCTACTGAATTTACTGTATTCTGTCTATTTTTATAAAGGAATAAGCCATAAATCAAAATTTCTATTTTTTGTCAAAGTGTTACCTATTCAAGATAAAAGCGGGAGTTATGGAAATCCTTAACTCCCTTGGGAGTTATGATATCCTTAACTCCCTTCCTTAACTCCCTTGGGAGTTATGAAAATCCTTAACTCCCTTGGGAGTTAAGACCCTGTTTATGATTATCGTAACCAAGGTATTATATGGTTTTAATAGTTCAGTAGGATATAAATAACTATTATTTCTTGTTATGATATCCTTAACTCCCTTCCTTAACTCCCTTATGTCAAGATTGAACATTTTAAAAAATATAGTTTTGATTCTCTTTCATTTATGATAACTAAAAAAAAAAACTGCACAAACAAACAGATAATTATTTTTAAAATTTGACATATTTGACACTAAGACGGGCGTCTCACGTCATGATACTGGAACGGTACAAATCTAGTGCGTGGCGCCCCCTAGGTGCTCTGGAGCGCGCCAGAGCGCGTCAATGTGCATACTGGAAAGCGGCTGAGGAGCAAGGAAATATTTTTGTTTTTAACCATATATGAAATGTTGTCATTACTGACTTTTCAAAAAGGACCCCGCACATTTCTTATGGAAAAGTGATCTATGTGGAATTTTGCTGAATTTTTGATATTGTGTATAAGGAGTCATCCTTAACAAAAGTGATCATTGCGGCCATTGCGCTAAAGTTCAATACCGAACAGTCTTCAAGATATTAATTAAAAACTTTTTTAATACGATACTCTTCAGTATGACGTCACCAGAGCCGCTTTCCAGTGCCTAAATTGTTAGAGTATCATGCTCCTGAACTGTGACGCTCTTGAACTGTTCGACATAAGCGGCACTGGAACGCTCTCGTCTTATCCCCCACCATTTCGAATTTCAGGAGCATGAAACACAGACAAAAGGTTGGTGCTCGAGGGGGCAGGGGATAACAGAAATGAGTAGCTCAAGTGTACGACACTCTAAGCACTGGAACGCGCAAAGCAATTGTGGAGCACTCCTGAGCTGCTCAGGAGTAACTCAAATGGGTCACTGGAAAGCACCTCAGTATGCTCACAGCAACAAAAATTATTACTATCTATTCCACTTTTGAGTTTGACTTTACTCTTCTCCTTTTAACATTAAAGAAAAAAAAAGATAGCGATAGCGATTAGTGACATATAAGTAGGTATGTAAACAACAGTTTTAAGGCGTTTTCGAGCGCTTGACCGGTTAATACCGCAGTCATGCCCTTGGTTGTCCTGAGTCACAGTCCTTTGACGTTTGTTTGACAGTTTATGGTCAAAGCACTTCCAAAACGCTTGAAATTAGTTTTATCTCTGAAATTAGTTGATTATCATTTTGGTTTTGATTTGTCAAATTCGTCTGCTTCTCTCTTTGAATATAAAACTACAGGAAGGAGCATAACTTCGAATCTGCGCGATCAAAATATGTTTTTTTTTTAATATAACTTTATTTGTGAACTTAAAACAGTACATTTAAATGACTGGTAACAAGTCCTAATATTTAAGCATAATAACAATAATAAATAAATCTGAGATAACACCTATTATTTTACACAGATAATACTTATAGCGAAACTAAAACCCATAAAGAATATATACAATATCATCCCCATGTTAACTATGAGTTTTGAACAAACAAATAGTTTTTAATTCTTATAGAAAAAGGTACAGGAGCAGTTATTCTTTTAGTATCTTCTGGAATTTTATTGTAGGATACTGAGGCTCGGTTGATTACACTGTTCTTTCTCAGGTTTGTTCTTGATGTTGAAACATACAAATTACTGCGTTGTCTGGTACTGTGACAGTGAATATTACTACTTTTAATTGGTTTAATATTAGATTTAATTTGTTTATGTATAATTTTTTGCATTAGTTTACATTCCTCCAAATAGACAACTTGTTCAACTTTTAGAGGGGGTGTGCGCCAAAAAAACAACTTCATCTCAAAAAAAAGAGAAAAAAAATCTAAGAATAACAGTGAAATCCGCACCCCCCTATAACAAATAATACCGCAGATATGGTTCTATGAAGGTACCGCATCTCACCCTATGACGTCACGAAAGCTCAAGCGACGCACGAGAAAGTGGATTTAATTAAATTTACATAATGTTTTTCCTGTGTTACCTGCAATAATCTAAACAAAAACCACTCACGCGTGCCGGGAACAATCAAATTAACAATGCAGAGCGCCGCTGGACGAAGTTTTCGTGACGTCACGAGGTTTGAACAGTTATTCTTAAGCCGATTAAACGCGATGGAATATTGATAACCGCGGTTATATCTTTGGTCAGTCCTTTGGTTATCCTTGAAACAGCGATTGTCGACCCTTTTTGATTAACCTGAGAGAGCTCGCGTTTATGCTATGGTTATTCCGTTAACCCCATTTTTTTTGTTTATTCCGTTCTGTGCTGTCTTGTGATTGTTTTTTTGTTGAATTTTTACCTGAAGTACAGTACTACATAATTATTATTTTTATTATTTAGTGAAGTTTAGTGTTGACCTAAATCAAATCCTCAAAGATTGATTTTTCGATTGGTTCGAAGTTCATTTTTGGGGTTGCACAAAAAACAACACACAAAACACAACAGAACAACGAAAAACCCGTCAAAATCCGCCATATCGGGTATTTCTCCTTTATTTACTTTTTCAGACAAGGACAGAACATAATAACGCTCCAAAGGTAGGTTAAAAATGGTTGAACCAAAGATAAAAACAGCTGATTTAATACGTCACAAAGGGCCAAATGATGACGTCACTATGGAATGATCAAAAATAACCAAAACCGCGTTTACGTGAATGGTTATACCATTTTTAACTCGGTTATTAAAATTCCATCGCGTTTAATCGGCTTTAGATTTTTTTACACAAAAACTTTAATTTTTGGCGCACACCCCCTTTAAGTGCTTATAGTTTTTATATATTTCTTTAGTATATAGGGTACAATCTTGGAAGTTTACATAAATATTTAATAAAACGATTTTGAAGTCTCTGGAGTTTTTGAATTTGTGTTTTTGAAGCAGACGCCCAAATTGTACACATGTATTGCAAGTGTGATTTAAATATTGCTTCGTGGAGGTTGCATATGGCCGACTAGTATTTCCGGTTTGGCAATGGCGTATATTTATTTAAATATGATTGTCAATGTTATAGCTCACTCTTTTCGCACTAATCCCAGTGCTTATTATCATTTAAAACCGCTGAAATACATTAAACATCCACTTGAATGAGAACACAGCAAACCACCAAAACAAATGATGAGTCCATACTTGGAGGCTCAATGTTAAAGTTAAGGTGTTTTCTTTTCGATGTAGAACTTTATCTTTTTTTTCTCAATTATTAGTTTATTCCAGGCTCTTATGGCCGTTTCCACCAAATTAGAGAGTTATTGGAACTATTAAATACTGCCTCGCAGTATTAAGGACCTACGTTATTTTATTAGTGCATCAGCACTATTTTTCCAAGAAAAAAACAGTTATTGGAAGACTGTAGTAGGTGCTAGAGTATTACCTTATTTTGTATTCATAATTTTGACAGCTGATAGCTATGTTTATAAATTTCAGCCTCAAAAAGTGTTTATTTTTGTTTGTGATTTTCTGCTGATTAGTGCTGATACCCATTTTTCGATGCTACCCACAGTAAAATGGAAAACTACTGTAAAAAATAAATTTTCTAAGTAAAATTACGTCATCGTCGAAAAGCGAAACGTCAAAGTCGTCCAAAATGTCAGAAATTTAAAATGAGGGAAGTAACCTTATTAAGGGAATCCTTATTTTCGGACCCAATTAGGCAATCCAACGACCTGTCCAAATGGCATCTGGTTGGCAAATAATAAACAAAAAAACATATGTTTTTATTTTGACAGGATTAAGCCTATAACCGCGAAATTCGCTCTTTTTTGACGTTTGATTCACACATAAAACGTCAAATTGTCGAAGCAATGTCAAAAAACAGCGAATTTCGCTGTTATGAGTACTAGGCTTTATCAATACTGACATCGTTGACATGTAACAACCCGTATTCTAACCTCATAAAAATTTCAAAATGCCGGCTGGTTGGCAAAAAGTCACGTGGTTTGGATTCCCTAATTGCGCATGCGTAGATGTCAAAATAAGGTTAATTCAAATACTGTTTGTCCTTATTGCACGTCCAATAACTCTATATTTTAGGGAAGCCTTAACGATAAGTATTCCCTAAATTGACATTTCTCCATGGAAAACTAGCAGTTTAGTTTAGAGAATTCTTATTTTTAAGACTTCCCTAAAATAGTTGGTGGAAACGACCATTAGAGCCCTACCCTGTTTTCTTGAGTTTTTGAATTCAAGAGCCACGAATATAAGAAAGCTATTAATTTGGTCTATTCCAGGCTCTCAAGCTGAAAAATTTAAGAATTCATAAGCTGTCTCTATCCCTGATGGTTCAAAGAAAGCGCTACAATAAAATAGCCTACTAGATTTTTTCATACTGTCAAAGTTGAGTTGCTTTCATATTGCTGCCCGAGACTTAATTGAAAAATATGGAGTGAATTCACTCCGATTGACTCTAGTTTTGTTGCACTTGAAATCACCACATAAAGCCTAGTACTCATAACTGCGAAATTCGCATTTTTTTGACATTGTGTCGACATTTTGATGTTTTAGGGCGGGTATTATAAAACTGCTTTGACAGTTAACTTGAAGTTAACTATTTGAATTACATGTATTTTCAGAAGTTAACTCTCAAAGTAGTTTTATATTTTAATACCCACCCTTAAGGCTCGTCCTCAATCAACTTAGTAGCGAAGTGGCACTTCGGCACGCAAGCTAGGAAAATGTTGTTTAACGTTGGCATCCTCAATTCAATAGGGAATTCTCATAAGAAATAAATATGGTTCATTTTGTATCTATGGTGCACATTTTTCTGTAAAATATTGAATATGAGCAGTTTTGCATTTAATTTATCGATATTATTCTCATACGGCAATTATTAGTTTCAAATTGAAAAGTTTCGCGCGGAAAAGTTACGTTCAACATGGCCGCTTTTGGTGACGTCAACTGTTTATAAACCAAGGTTAAGGGTAGTTTACACTGGCCGTGAGTAACGAACGTGGTCTACGCTTTCATGGTTCACTCTTGGGTCCTGAAGAACGATTGGTTCACGATCAGCACACATCATGTCACCACTGATATTGAATCACCATAAATGGGTCTATAGAGGGATTGTCAGACTGCGCTTCTGTAAATCCTGTATCAATCATGACAAACTTGAAACACAAAATGTCACAATACGCCAAATACAGAAACACCACGTAAAAACCACATTCCATGCAAAGATTTAATGCAGTCGATGGTACGAGCGATTTTTTCTGACAGTTTGCAAAGTGTCAGGGACTCTTGTGAGGACAGACCTTAACGTTGTATTTACAAACACTTGACGTCACAAGTACCGACATCTTGAAGGTAATCGTTTTCGCGCCAACGGAAATAATTTGAAATTTTATAAATTCTTTTTATTTTGATGAGGACATAATAGAAAAGAAAACATATGTATTTTATATTTGAAAACATAAGCAATAAGAAAAAAAATAATTTGAAAAATATGATTGTTCCCCATTGTTCCCTATTCCGTGCTGGCATGCACGTCGACTCCGAAGTGAAGTTTGCAAGCTGCCAGCTTTTTCGATGCGTGCCGACTTATGTCATGCGCAGTACGTTTAAAAATTAATTTAGGTTATCCTTGCGTTCGGTATTTTGCTCGAAGAGCAGAGCGGAGCTGTAATCACGTGACCAGCAAGCGCACAGAGCAGTTAAACGCTGTATCAGAGGGCTCGAAATTTTAATAAACTAACGTGAATGAGCCTACACCGAGTACATTTTTTAAATAAACGAACGGTAAATTTATGCTCGGAGAACTCCGATCAAAATACCGAACGTACGGTTCGTGACCGTACTACACGTAGAGCAGACTGAAAATTGACAGCATTGAGGATGGGTATCAATTTCTCAGCACGCGTGCCAAAGTGCCACTTCGCTAGCAGATTGATTGAGGATGTAGCTTTATGCGTGTATCATACGTCAAATTGTCAAAGCAATGTCAAAAAAGAGCGAATTTCGCAGTTATGAGTACTAGGCTTAAGAGAGGGTGCAACTTAACGGAAAATCTTGAGCGGAAAAATTTAGGAATTCATAAGCTGTCTCTGTCCGTGGTAGTTCAAAGAAAGCGCTATCAATGGCCTACTAGATTTTTCTAGATTTTTTAAACTGTCAACATTAGGGTGTTTTCGTTTTGCTGCCCGAGACTTAATTGCAAAATGTGGAGTGAATTTTCTCCGATTGACTCTGGTTTTAGGCCTGTTCGCACAGAAATCAATGGACCTTTCTCATGCAATTAACAACAAGGAATGACTTTGATTGGTTCCACTTGTCAAATTAAGCAATTTCGGTTATATTTCTGTTTTTGTTTATTTTTAAACGTAAATATGACAAATATGTGGGGGAAAAGTTTAGAAAAGTTTGAGATGTACGAATTTACAAGTGCTAACAAACCTCTAATTGTACAATTATTAATATATTTGATATAGAAATCGTTATTTTACGAACCCTCAAACCTCTGTTCCAACTTAAATCGTCTTCAGTCAGGTTGAGAACATGTAACCATTGTTTTCTTAAAATTTGATTGCTAGGGAACTTGTGAAAAAAAAGGTTTGACTTCTTTTTCGCCCTACTCTGACAAGATCTCACACAACACACTTGAACCATTGTAGGTATAATTAACAGTTTTTGTAATAATTTTCAGCAATATTGATTGATTATTGAGGTTTGCTTAAAAAACGTCAGGGTCAGACCGCGTTCCCACGTTCATTCAATTGACAATTTTATTATCTGTCACCCACAAGCTGCGCGCGCAGCACAGGTAAAATGAGAAAGGTCCATAACCAGTCAGAGCAAATTTCATTGATTGAAACTATTTTTCTGACTGTTTCCAATCAATGAAATTCTCTCTGACTGGTTCGTGATTGCTTTGCGAACAGACCTTTTGTTGCACTTGAAATCTCCACATAAGAGTGGGTGCAACTTAACGAAAAATTCTCCAGCTGAAAAATTTAGGAATTCATAAGCTGTCTCTGTCCCTAATGGTTCAAAGAAAGCGCTACCAATGGCCTACTAGATTTTTCAAACTGTCAACGTTGAGGTGCTTACATTTTGCTGACCGAGCATTAATTGAAAAGTGTGGAGTGAATTTTACTACGATTGACTCTAGTTTTGTTGCACTTGAAATTACCAGGAAGTGCTGTTTCAAACAACACAAACAAACCTTATATGGCGTTTCCGATTGGTAGATCTAGTGCGGAACTAGTGCAATTTTTTCTATTTCTGTCTTTCTCTTCTACAGGTTGATTAAAAGGATGCAAATACACTCAGTGCGCACTGAATCTACCAATCGGAAACGCCATTAAATAAGAGAGGGTGCAACTTAACGGAAATGCTATAATTGACTAAGGGCGGGTATTATAAAACTACTTTGAGAGTTAACTTAAAGTTAACTTCTTGAATTACATGTAATTCAAAAAGTTAACTTTCAGAGCAGCTTTATAATACCCACCCTTAGGGCGGGTATTATAAAACTGCTTTGACAGTTAACTTGAAGTTAACTTTTTGAATTACATGTATTTTCAGAAGTTAACTTTAAGTTAACTCTCAAAGTAGTTTTATAATACCCGCCCTAATGATAGTAATAATAATAATACCCGCCATTATGGCGGGTATCATAGAACTACTTTTACTTTACAGTTAACTTAAAGTTAGCTCCTTCCTCCTCATGTAATTCCAGAAGTTAACTTTCAGTTAACTGTCAAAGTAGTTTTATAATACCCGCCCTCTACTTAAAATGTCAAAGTTAGGGTGTTTTCTTTTCGATGTAGAGCTTTATTTCTAAGGCCCGGTTGTACCAAATAGTTATTCAGTTTAACTTTACAGGTACTTGAACTTTGAGAACTTTCCCATTTAAAATGCATTGATGTCGGAAATCTGCCAAAGTGTTGACAGCAACGCATTTTGAATGAGAAAAATCAAGTACCAGTAGAGTTCAACTGAACCACTATGGGCCGTATTCTCCGTAGTTCATAAAGCCTGGCTTAGTGGAAACGCTTGGCTTTTTGTGTGACAAAGCCGAGCTTTTCCACTAAGCCAGGCTTTATGAACTACGGAGAATATGGCCCTATTTGGTATAACCGGGCCTGAGGGCGGGTATTATAAAACTACTTTGAGAGTTAACTGAAAGTTAACTTCGGGAATTACATGTAATTCAAAAATTTAACTTCAAGTTAACTGTCAAAGCAGTTTTATAAAACTCGCCCTAAGTACAAAGCCGATACAAAGCTTTGGTACGATTGAGATTGATTTGGCAACGTTTGAGCTGTGACGTCACGTAACCAAAAAGTCGTTTCTGAAAATTTGAAATGTTGATGATTTTTAATTTTCAATTTCAGAAAATAAAATTATATCTATAAGGGAGATTATTTTCTTGAATGAAATTTTTATGCAAGTACCCTGTACAATAATAGGTGGGTTCGGCTTGCTCACTCCGAGTAACTCCATTCGCACTCCAGCCGTTCGGGTATTGCTTTTTACCGTATTAGGGGTGGACTCCATTAGTCTGCTCACTCCAATCCAACTCCGCGCTGAATAGCCGATCCCAGCTAATGATAATGCGAATTCGTATCGATAACAACAGTGTTCGAGAACGTATCGATAAGCCATCTTCTATTTCAATCTTCTAACCTCACTTTTTCCTTGTTATGTTGTGTTGTGTTGTTACCATTTTATTTTCATCAGTTTTATTAAAAATACCATCAAAAAAATGCTGTAAGTGCAAATATTTCGTCCCCGATTATTCGTAGCGTCTACCAACATGCCAAAGATCAAAGAAGTTGTAACGGAACCGAACAGGCCAGTACTCAGTAAGTACCTACTCGTGTCTCATCCATATCATTGTTAATGAACCAATTTCAAGTTAATTTCCAAAATGGAAAAATTCAACCTGGAGAAGAAACTTCTTTAGATGCTGCTTTGTTTAAAGAAAAAGGCTCCAACAAGAAACTCATTGGAGTGTCCAACGGAGATATGCTTTATACTGGAGAAGTAGCTGATTTCAACAGCTTTCTAGTAGTGCAAACTCCTGATTCAAAATCGGTAAAAAACTGACTGTTTTCAACCAACTGACTGGTTTTTGATTTCTGTAGTACCTATAATGATAATAACAATTGTTTATTTTAGTTGCAACTAATTCAAGTGGACACCAGTGTAGTTGCCCCCTTATTGGAAAATAAAGCCCCGACTACTGCTACAACTCCGGTTAAAGGGCATTCATTGGCAGAGTTGAGAAAGGAATTTGGTTCCAAAAAAGCCAAAAGATACACTGAGCAACAAGAAAGATTGACTACGAATATTGAAAATGTTAAACAAACATTGGAAATGACTGTTGCTGGTATAACTTTATTGATTAATCTATTCCAGGCTCTTGAATTGCTGTTTGCATCCAAATTTCTTTTCATAAAAGAATTACATGAACAGTCAAAAGCTTGGAATAAAATTTCTTTCCATAACAGCAGTAAACAACAGTCAAAAGCCTGGATTAGAAAAGAAAAATGATCAAAATTTCCTTAAAACTCTTGTCTCCATTTCTCTTCTTGTTAATTTAAATTTTCAACTATTCCAGGCTTCTTTTTATAGAAGAATCAAGGCACTGTCAAAAGCCTGGAATAAAATTTCTTTTCATAAAAGATCAAGAAGCAAGCAAAAAAGCCTGGAATAGAAAAGAAAAATGATCAAATTAGCTTTGTCTCTATTTCTCTCCTCTTTTGTTTCAATTTTCAACTATTCCAACCTCTTGAATTTCTGTTTCCAGTCAAATTAAAATGTAACATGTGTGTAAAGCCCTTTTTTTTATTCATGCAATTGTCAAAATTTACATTTGTGACCACTTTACACACTTGTTGCATAAATAGCTACTTTTTTTAGATGTCACTATATCTGAAATTCCAACCACTATGAACGGCGATGGCGATAGTTTATACAAACCAAAAATTAATAGAGACGCTTCCAGCAAAGATCAAGTTTACCAGCTGCAAGATTTGGTACCTCAAGAAGTACTTGATACCCTTGAAGAAAAAGTTATTGAAATTTTGGAAAGTGATGATTTCAAAGAGTTTGAGTAAGTTGTCAAAACATTTTATTCGATTACCAAAACTGTTTTTTTTTTTCTAGACTTTTGCCAACAGTAGAAAAACTGATGCTGGACTTAAGAGCTTCTCAGCCTGAAAGAACAGTGGTTGAAAAATGTAAAATTTTATTGTATGTTCACTATTTGGTGAAATTTATGATCACACCCCTGAAAAATATGACCAAAAAATTTATCTCTTGTGATTGCTCCAGCGAAGTGGATAAACATATCAAAAACAACTACATGGTCAATAAGTAAGAAACTATTCTATCAATCACAAATAATTAACGTTTTTATTTCCAGTACAAGACCAATTACAATGAAAGACAAAGGCCTTTGCTACACAATTGTATTGCTGATGCTAGCAATGGACCACGAATTGGATTTGGAAATGATATCCAAAGACATAAAAACCGGGATAAAAAAAATGCAAGAGTTTGCCAGGAATTTGGGTTTCAGCGGTTCTTCCAAAAATAAGAATAGCATTAGTCTTAAGTTACCTGTACCACCACCTGTTATGCCTAATTTGAAACGAAAAAAAAATTGAGTTTTATGTTTTATAATTATTTGAGTACATTTTATGTTTATAATTAGAAGTATTTCTGTTTTGTATAATTATTTTTTTGAATCTGTAGAATGATTTACTAATTGACAATTTAATAAAATCATATTTGTATATTGAGTTTTTTTAAGTTCAGGTCTTAGGATCAATTGCAACAATTATAGGGGAAAATAAACTACAAATCAGCTTATAACATTTTCGCTGGCCAAAAACTCAACCCGCAACATATAGGAGGACATAAAACTAAAAAATATGCACATTGTTTTTTATTGTAGCTTATCCACCGCTAACAAAGCTGTCTTAATAAAACCAAAAATATTTTTACTTTCCTCCCTACACAAACTCAAAGCTCGTCGATATTGTTCTACACTAAAACAGCCTTCTGTGTGCGAAGCCAAAATGCTTCCGCTTGTATTATTAAAAACAAACACAAACATCCCCCTTGAGTTGTTTTCGTTTATCGGTGGAATAAAACTGAATTCTTCAGTTTGGGTCAGGAAACAAGAAACTGCAGCAAAAATGAATTTCATGTCTATGCCAGAGTCTAGACAGGCTAGGCAAGTTGCGTTTATTGCTGAGGAAATTAACTAAAATAATTTGTTTTAGTTATTATTTAATTGAGTTTAATAATTACCTGTCCACGATTTTGCATCTCTTGCAAGTTCAATACAATGGCAGCTCTCGGATACAAAGAAGCAGCCAAAGCAGTTTCGCAAATGTTTTTTATGATTGATTCTCTAAATCTGTCTTGTACTCCTATAAATAAACAAATTAACTGTTTGATTTGATTAGTTTTAAATGTTTATTTACCTGGTAAACCTGCTTTAGGCCTATAATAGCATTCTATAACTGCTTTTTCCATAAGAATCCTTTGGGTTTTTACTTCGACTGGGCCATATATAGCTGCAATTACTGCTGATTCTCCTTGAATAAGGAAATTGAATTGTCACTAAAGTAAATTGAGTCAGAATCGTTATTTTCTTCTTGGAACCATACTGACAAAATTTTAACTAAAGCTCAACTTTGAGGCAATAATTGCCCGAAAAGTATTTGAGCTATTAGAACCAAGGATTTATAGAGAATTTAATGATATTTTGTTCCAATTTGCTCAAATTTCAATTAAGATAAGAGCAATTATTTCTAACATTGTCAGGATTCCAAAGACAAAATTGAGATTTTTTTTTCCTATGAATCAGTGTTGCCAATGACCCGATAATTATCGAATTCTACCACGATTCGATAATCGATAATGACAAGCTAATCTACCATAATTTATTGAAACTACAATTTTAATATAGATTTTTCAAATTTCTAGTTAAAAATTAATCGCTGTATGCAACATCCTCTTTTAACTTAAAAGCGCTTTTTAAAACTGGTACCTTTAAAAATTTGTATGGCTTAGAATACAGAATCTTAAAAGTGACCAGTTTTAAAAAGCGCTTTTAAGTTAAAAGAGGATGTTGCATACAACTGTAAAAATTTATTAAAAAATTGAAGGTGGTTGTTGGTTTTGAGTGTTTTGACGTACTGGTATGAGCACCAAACACTAGTCCCAGATTGAGCCAACGTTTCATGCCAATAACTTTACTGGTTTCCAAAATATGGCCCTTTGAAATAATTGAAAATCAAATTCCCATGCATACCCCTTTTGGAAAAATTCGAATTTTTAAATATTTGGATTTTGCAAAGTTTGACTTTACCAATCAAAAGGGGAGATCAAAATTAGTGAAAAAGCATTTTTGCAACTTTGTTTTTAGAGTTTTAAAGCCTTGTAAAAAAATCAAAACGGTTTTTGCAATTTTTGGGCTCAAAAAAGTTCAATAATCTGATATTCTTTCACAAAGTTGCTGATTACTCGGTTATTATTGTAACAAATACAATGACCAATTATATATTCTGAATCAAAATTGAATTATCTTCAAGATAAAATAAGACTGAATTCTATGTCTTAAATATTTCTGAAGATATTGAGGCTCAAAGTTAAAGCTTCCAGGCGGATTATCTTGAAAACGAAGCCCTTGGGCTCGGAGTCTTAAATAACCTTTTTTGTAGCCCTTATTAAGAGCTACAATTGGGCAAAAGATTCATGCCAATAGCTTCACTGGTTTCCAAAATATGGCCCTTTGAATTATTTGAAAATCAAATTTCCATGCATACCCCTTTGGAAAAAATCTAATTTTTAAATTTTATGGATTTTGCAATTTTTGACTTTAACAATCGAAATAAGAGGTTAAAATTAGTAGAAAAGCATTTTCAGAACTTATTGCTGATTACTAGGTTATTATTACAACAAATATGATCTAAAATTATATATTCTGAATCAGAATTAAATTATCTTCAAGATAAAATAAGATTCAATTCTATAGCTTAAATACTTCTGAAGATATTGACGCTCAAAGTTGAAACTTTACCTCAAATTTTGCAAAAGCTTCTAGGCGGATTATCTTGAAAACGAAGCCCTTGGGCTTGGAGTCTTAAATAACCTTTTTTATAGCCCTTATTAAGAGCTACAATTAGGCGAAAGATTCATGCCAATAACTTCACTGGTTTCTAAAATAGGGCTCTTTGAAATATTTGGAAATCAAATTTCCATGCATACTCCCATTGGAAAAGTTCGAATTTTTAAATTTTCAGTTTTTCGAATTTTTGACTTCACCAATCGCAAGAATAGGTTAAAATTAGTAGAAAAGCATTTTCGCAACTTTCCTTTTTGGGTTTTGAAGCCTTGTTAAAAAATAAAAACAATTCTTGCAATTTCTGGGCACAAAAAAATTTCAATAATCTGACATTCTTTCACAAAATTGCTGATTCCTCGGTTATTATTGCAACAAATATGATGTAAAATTATATATTCTGAATCAGAATTAAATTATCTTCAAGATAAAATAAGATTCAATTCTATATCTTAAATACTTGGGAAGATATTGAGGCTCAAAGTTGAAACTTTACCTCAAATTTTGCAAAAGCTTCCAGGCGGATTATCTTGAAAACGAAGCCCTTGGGTTTGGAGTCTTAAATAACCTTTTTGTAGCCCTTGTTAAGAGCTACAATTGGGCAAAAGATTCAGGCCAATAAGTTCACTGGTTTCCAAAATATGGCTCTTTGAAATATTTGAAAATCAAATTTCCATGCATACCCCTTTGAAAAAGTTGGAATTTTTAAATTTTCAGTTTTTCGAATCTTCGACTTCACCAATCGAAAGAAGAGGTTAAAATTAGTAGAAAAGCATTTTCGCAACTTTCCTTTTTGGATTTCAAAGCCTTGTTAAAAAATAAAAACGATTTTTGTAATTTTTGGGCTCAAAAAAGTTCAATAATCTGACATTCTTTCACAAAGTTGCTGATTACTCGGTTATTATTGTAACAACTAAATGTGAAATTATATATTCTGAATCAGAATTAAATTATATTCAAGATAAAATAAGATTAAATTCTATATCTTAAGTACTTCTGAAGATATTGAGGCTCAAAGTTGAAACTTTACCTCAAATTTTGAAAAAGCTTCCAGGTAGATTATCTTGAAAACCAAGCCCTTGGGCTCGGAATCTTAAATAACCTTTTTTGTAGCCCTTATTAAGAGCTACAATTGGGCAAAAGATTCATGCCAATAACTTCACTGGTTTCCAAAATAGGGCTCTTTGAAATATTTGGAAATCAAATTCCCATGCATACCCCTTTGGAAAAGTTCGAATTTTTAAATTTTTAGTTTTTTGAATTTTTGACTTCACCAATCGAAAGAAGAGGTTAAAATGAGTAGAAAAGCATTTTCGCAACTTTCCTTTTAGGTTTTAAAGCCTTGTTAAAAAATAAAAATGATTTTTGAAATTTTTGGGTTGAAAAAATTTCATTAATGACATTCATTCACAAAATTGCTGATTACTCGATTATTATTAAAACAAATATGATGTAAAATTATATATTCTGAATCAGAATTAAATAATCTTCAAGATAAAATAAGATTCAATTCTATATCTTGAATACTTCTGAAGATATTGAGGCTCAAAGTTGATATTTTATCTCAAATTTTGCAAAAGCTTTCAGGCGGATTATCTTGAAAACGAAGCCCTTGGGCTCGGAGTCTTAAATAACCTTTTTAGAAGATCTTATTGAGAGCTACAATTGCCAGAGTCCCAGCTAGAACCCGAAAAATGAAAATAGAGATAAAAAGTCAAAAAAGTTGATAGAAACTTTTTCTGATAATTTTTCTTGGAATCTGATAATTTTGTTCTCAAATCCTGATAAATTTAAATTTGACATCTGACAACACTGCTATGAATTTGCAATTTGGATCTGCTCTATGGATTGAAATTGTCAAGAAATTATGTGAGGCCACTGGTAATTGAATAGAGTAGAATAGAATAGAATGTTTATTTCCAAAATGTACAACATAGTATACAAAAAAAAAGCTTGCAAAAGCTATATGGAAAAAAATTTAAATCTAATTTTTATCATACAATAAAACATTATTAAATTGAGTTTGGCTTTACATAAAGTAAGCAACAAGTTTACAGTAGGTACAAAGAAATGTAAAATACAAGTCAAATTGACAACACACAAACACTTAAAAGAAAAATTAACAATAAGGAAATATACAGTAGGTAGCCAGTAATAAATATAAACATTTTGGCAGTAAGTAAAATAATCATTTCTAAACTAAAATGGTTAGGGGTTCGTTAATGCAAAATTTAGAATGTATGGTTAAAAAATTCGTCTATATTATAAAAAGTGTGAGTATGTAGCAGATCTTTAAGCTTATTTTTGTAAATATTTTCATTAGGACTGTTAAGCAACTCACGCGGTAAGTTGTTTAAAATTTTTATGCCCATGTAACTGGGACCTCTTCTATTTACTTCTAAAGTAAAGTTTGGCGGCAGAAAAGCACCATTACCTCTTGTGAAGTAGGTGTGAATGTCTGAGTGCATTGTCAAGTTTTCCCTTTCATTAAACATTAAAATTGCAGTCCTGTAGATGTAAAGGTTTGTCAAAGTGAAAATTTTGTTATCTTTAAAATAGGCTCTACAAGATTGCAACCTTCCAAGAGAAAATATGGCACGAATGGCTCGTTTTTGGAGAAGAAAGGTGTCTTTTGCCCCAACAGAAATGCCCCAGAATTCCACACCATATTGTAAAAGGCTGTAGAAATATGCATAGTAGACAGTCATTGCTACTTCCCTGCCAATATTCTGTTTTGCAGTTCTAATAGCATAGATTGCACTACTCAAAGATTTGTTCAGTGAGGAGGTATGGTTTTTCCAGTTCAGTGCGTTATCAATGTATACTCCAAGAAATTTTAGATGTTGTTGAGAAGTAACACTACCATTTTCAGTGGCAATGTTAAGTTCTCCAATCTTTTTGTTGGGTTGAAAAAGCATGTTGAATGTTCTGTCAACATTGAGGACCAGCTTGTTTGCCGCGAACCAATCATTTATCTCATCTAGCAGCTGTTTACCTTCTGTCTGAAGATCGTTCAGGAGCTTTTCACGTAAAGTAATGCTGGTATCGTCAGCGAAAAGTGTAAATAAAGCGGATGGAAAGTTGATTTCAAGATCATTAACATATAATAAAAATAATAGTGGTCCCAATATAGATCCCTGGGTTACGCCACATGTAAGTGGCCTCAACGTTGACTGTATTTGTTCCAAATTATTATTGACATTTTGTCCGACTTCAACAAAAATTTGCCAGCCATGGATGTAGGAAAAAAACCAGTTATTGGTAATGCCATAGAATTCCAATTTTTCAAGGAGTATATTATGGTCGACACAATCGAACGCCTTTGATAGGTTGCAAAAGATGGTCAAAGGATGTTCTTTGTGGTCTAGAATGAGATTTATGTTTTTCACCAAATTATGTAGGTATAGCTTGGGTGGTGTTTTTCTTTTTTTGGAATCCAAATTGATTTTCACTTAGAATGGAATTTTGTGTAATATAATCTGTCATCTGATTTTTTACTGCTGTTTCTAATATTTTGGAAATCGTTGGTAATAATGAGACAGGTCTATAATTCTCCATTGCTGTTTTTTGTCCTTTTTTTAAAAAGGGGTTTAACTTTGGCAATTTTGTAGCAGTCTGGAAATATACCAGATTTTAATGAGAGATTTATTAAGTAAGTTATTGGCTTTCTAAGTATGTTTATGGTATTTTTTATAACTGTAATAGGTATTTCGTCATATCCAGAACTAGGTTTTGATAATAATTTTTTAGTTATCCGAACGACTTCTTTTTCGGGGACCTCCTTGAATGAAAATGGACGGTTTAGATTAACTTTAACATTTTTTAAGAATTCAGTATGTGTTTTTTTGCTTTTAATTTTTTCCGTGAGTTTTTGTGCAATTGTTTGGTAAAACTGAGCAAAATGGTTTGCGACTTGAGTTGGACCAGTAATTTTTCTAATATCTATTTCCAGTTCCAGGTTTTCTTTTAATTTTGAGGGCTTTTTTTGTATGTTTGTTATTATTGTATCCCATGTTGTTTTAATTTTGTTGGCTGAGTTTTCTATTTGTGATTTAAAATGTTTTTGTTTTGCAGCAGTTATTATGTTTTCAAGTAATTTTGAGTAGATTTTTACATAGTTTTTAAGAAATGTAGATGAGGAAAAATGGTTTCTTAAGAAAATAAGTGATCTTTTGTTTTTACAAGAAATTCTGATTGCATTGGTCAGTCAACCTTTGTAAATTTTTCTGTTATTAATATTTTTAAGAGGGTAAAACTGTTTGAAGCAGCCTCCCAGAAGTCTATTGAACTCCTGGAAGGTGTCATCTACTTCAGTTTTACCAAGGAGAACATTCCAATTTACAGTTTTCAATAGATTTTCGAAAGATTCATTGTTTTTGTTGTTAAATATTTGTTTTTGTCTGTATTTGTTCATTAAGGAGTAATTTAATAATTTGACCTGTGTGATCAGAAATTCCAAAGTCTTTGTTTATTAATGTAACGAACTATGGGGTTCCCAGAGAATTTTGGCTTGACATTACACCAGGTCCTTTATTCTTGAAACAGGGAAGCAGAGGTTCCATGAGAACGCATACTTTGTCTTTGTCACTACTATTTTTATTTGTGAGACTCTGACAAAGACAAAACAATTATTCTCATAACACCGCTGTTTCCCGGATTCCAGAATAGGCATCCAGGCAAGATTTAAGTTATGTTTGAAATAAATAAAAAAATCCAGAAGAATAATTAATCATAAAAGATGCGGAAAAACTGGAAAATTAATCAAAATTCATGTAGTTTCAACTTTACCTTCACAAAATAATGCAGAACCATCCGGTCTAGTCAAAATTCCAAGTTTGCATTTTAGTTTAGAAGGATTATCTGGCTCTGTTTTGAAATTTTCCGTATCTACTTCCATTGTTGAGGTATTTCAAATTAAATTTCCTAAACAATTTACCAATAATTAAAAAACTTTCTTTGGAAAAAGATTGTTGTTTTTTGCTAGCCCTGGGTAGACATTTTTAGGTTATGTTGAAACACATTTACCTTTATTCATTTTAATGCACAGATCACACTGATAAGCACTCTATCTTTGTCTAGTTTATAAGTAATCAATATGGCTATTTCACAAAATGGTGGATATATCAATGAAAAAAAGAAATCGCTTACAGGCCTTACAGCCAAACATTTGTCAGATAAATCTAACCTCAAAAATAAACACATCCTCTTTTCAAATTATTATTTTTCCATTTTTCTATTATGAATTCCCTAAGCCGAACGTGGGGCCCATTAAAATCCTTAAGCAGATCAGCCGGCTACATTATCAAAAGTAAGCAACACCAAAATTCTGTCCTTAAATTATTAGTCGTATTTCTTTTAAGGAAATGTATCCTCCACTGAAGAATATCAAAGACAAGGCGAAATTTTCGCCTACGAACAAAAAAAACAAACAGAATCAGTTGGCCGAATCGAAAAAATCGAAGTCCGATATGAGGGCCAACCAGAAAACTGTATTTTTACCATGAACAAAAACATATCGACCCCCTATGATTGCGCCAAACGTAATATAAAAAATACATTTAAAAACCAATTCAACTAAATTCCTATTATTTAGATTTGGGTGACAAATTCCGTGATAGATCGGCAGTGGCCCTTTTAGATGGGAAAACATTATGGCACATGCACAAACCCCTACCTAATTCTTGCACCCTTGAATTACTCCACTATCACATTCAAAATCCTAGTGCAGTTAACAAAGTATTTTGGAGAACTTGCAGCTTTTTACTGGGAGCAGTGGCATCAGATGCATTTAAAACAAACATTGGACTGCATTTGCATAGTTTTCCAAGCCCTAGTGGTATAAAATAATAATATTATTATCAATTTATATTGATAATTATTTTTAGTTAAATCTGGAAGTTTCATTTACGATATCCAATTAGATTTGGAAAATTGGCAACCCACAAAACCAGAACTCAAAGTATTATCTTTAGAGTTTATTAAGTTGTGCCAGAAAGAGTTGCCTATTGAATGCTTAGATGTAGACAAGGACATGGCATTGGAAATATTCAAAAACAACCCTCATAAAACAGAGCAAATTCCAGATATAGCAGCACACAATGGGGAAAAGGTGACTCTTTTCAAAGTGGGTCCTCATATTGATATAAGTAGAGGCCCCATGCTACCAAATACCAATCATGTAGGAAGAGTTACAGTGACTAACATCCTTAAATTGGATACAGACATCAAAGGAGCTCCTGTTTATAGATTCCAAGGAGTGGCGTTGCCCAAATTTATCACCTTAAATCATTTTGCCTATGGGTTGATTGAGGAAAGAGGTAGAATTTTGGTAAATAACTAGAAAAAGTTTTGTGTTTTTGATCTAAAAAAATTTGTTTTATTTGCAGAATTCTGGCAGAATACCAGGTGATTATGATAGTTTGAATGAAGATAATAGTTTTTTAGCACATGCTAGTCAGTAAATAAAAATTAAATAATTGTTGTTGGTAGTTTTTATCATATTGCTATTTAGAGTCCCAATCCCAATGAAAAAGAAGATTTTTATACCTCTAGTAAAGTTTGGCAACATTGCTTTTAATCTAGAGAAGGGTTTATATCGATTATCATAGAGGTATCGATATGATATTCTTTCAAAGTTTCTACTTCTTTTCCATATCGATATTGATAATGGAAAATTACCTTGGTTTGGTCGTTTGGTGAACCTCCCTTGAAATGGTCGGTGTAAACGGCCATTAAGGGCGGGTATTATAAAACTACTTTGGGAGTTAACTTAAAGTTAACTTCTGGAATTACATGTACCTAATTCAAAAAGTTAACTGTCAAAGCAGTTTTATAATACCCGCCCTAAATCAGCTTGAATTTCTTCTCTTTATTTCTAAATTATTCTAGATCAATTTTTATCTATTCCAGGCTCTTGAATTTATAATAGCCAAAATTCAAGAGCCTAAAATAGAAAAAACATGAATGTACTCTTACCCAGAGAGCACACAAAGTCCTAAATAAGACGTCTTATCGACTAGGTCTCCATTATGTCTGAACGTCTGAAGACTAAAAATAGTATATTGTGTATTTAGGTGGAAAAGTGACACATTCCCGGCCGACGGTGTAAGTTGACGGGCGAGGCGTAGCCGAGGCCGGCAAACACCGAAGGCTGAGAATGTGCTTTTCCACCGAAATACACATAGGTACTATTTTTTCTGCCTTCAGTTAAATACCTGTTAAATGTTTGTCTTTTGGTTCCAATTATTCAGCTGTACGAGAATCACTTTCCCGGCCTAGGCCGGAAAAGTGTTTCCCGTATTGTTATTCATTGATTTCTTAGCAACTATTGAAACATAATTAAAATACCAGAATATTGAGTTTTGCGACCTGTCAACCGGTCAAAAATGATGACATTTCTTGTCAATAGACCTATCTATTTTTACCTGTATGCGCGCGCAACACGAGGCAATGCATTTTTATTGGCTAACTAGTACAAGTGTGAAATAATCCTTTTGCACGCTGGGTATCTCCTTGTCCTTGTTCATTGCCCGTGGTCTGACAAGGATAAAATTATGCTTGATATTTAACTTGACGCAGCTTGACAAGTGATCGATTTTCAATTGTTTGTGTTTTTGATTGATAAATACGTTGTACATCACTCGGTTTTCCTCCTTCCTTTTTTATCCCGTGCAAATAACAAGAACGGATTGCTATACGTAAGTCTAACATAATTTGGTACGTTTTGCCTCGTCTTGCGCAATACGCGTTCTGCGTCCTTTTCTATCTAATAAAGTTTTCGTATTATTACCTCTTTGTCTGGTGAAATAGATAGGTCTATTGCAGAAAAAAGATTTTCATATATAAAATGTCGTAAATTCACATTTTAAAGACAACAATGGTATGACCTAGATTTTAAAGTGAAAAATGGCTTATGTACCGGGATACTTTCAGTACTAAAAAAATTGTACTAGAAAGTAGGGAATAATTGTATTAGATTGGCGACATTGTGTACTAGCTGAAAGCGCGTCAAATTTTGAAATTTGAATACTAATGTAAGCTCTGCTGAATGGGGGTAAATATAACTTGTTTTAAGGTAGGTTTCTCAATATAGCGAGTCATCTGCGGGTTGGTTTCAACTCCAGGGTAAACGTGTCCAGTTGCAATGTTTATCTAGAGTTATCCTCAACCTGGGAGTGACTCGCTATTGGGAAACCGGCCCTGAATAACCGAATAACCACCGATACATGACACATGTCAAGTCACAGAATAAAAAACTCCCTCACCATTAGGGTTTCCATACGTCCGGATTTACCCGGACATGTTTGGGTTTTTAGGGTGTCCGGGGAAGTCCGGCCGGAATTGGGAACAATGTCCGGAAAACTCGGAGATCGTGAAAATACTCACTTTACGCAGTTTTCAAAAGACAAAAGACGTAAAATTTTACTTCACGCACTAGTACTAAAGTAGGTAATTCACTTTATACACTCACCAGTGCGTAAAGTAATGTCAATGACAGATGTCGACACTGTCATTTTTTTCTAGTAAAGTCTAGTTTGTCTAAATTTATTTTTTTACACACATTTTATTGGTAGTAGAAATTGTTTTGTACCTACATGCAATAGGTACAGATCGTTTCACGAGGGTTCATACTTTTGATATCGAACACGTCATAACTTAGAAAAAAGGGTTGTAAATTAATTCATATGACACATTCAATTTTTTTGGCAAATTAAAATCAATGACTTCTGGTTTAAGAACCGACAAACTTTTTTGACGTCATTGATTTGTTCCAGTCAAGTTCTATTTGTTAAAATGGAAGGCAAAAAGTATGAACCCTCGTGAAATAAAGTATACCTACGTGTGTAAAGTGAACCTTTTTTCACGAATGTGAATTTTGACGCGAGTAGAAGGCGTACATTCGTAAAAAAAAGTTCCCTCTATACACTTGTTGCATAAATAGCTTAATAGCTATTTCGGCGAAGTCCGGATTTTGTCCGGATTTCTTGACTTCTTTGTCCTGAATTCCGAAAAACCTTTATGAAAACCCTACTCACCATCAAATTCTGGGATATTCGAGGATCAAGAACACTTAATTTGTTCTGTGAGAACAGACCGAAAATCACCTTTTCTACATTTAAAATCGGCGAAAAAATTAACTCAATAGCATAGCCTGAATCGCAAGCATTCGATCGAGGTCTGCGGGCGATGTCATCACTATTTTCTGCTGATAGTGACGTCACTCGCAGGCCTACAATTTGATGGATAGGAAGTTAGGGAAATATGACACAATTCACACATCACATAACTTGGGTTTCTTGTTGAGTGGAGCGCAGAACTCGGGTACGGTACAGAGCGAGGAGCGACACTCGACTCGTAATCCAAATTGTACTAGATTTATGAGAGAGGTACTAGCGTACTAGGTGAAACGTGAATGTGCTAGATCTAGTACAATTGTGCTAGAAATAGCAGCCCTGCTTATGTAGGTAATGAAAAAAGATTCAAAGACATCTTTAATAGACATCTCGTTGAAGACGTGTTTAGAATGTCTTAAACACTTATAGATTTTTAATAAGTCCTTTGAAAAGTTCAAAATACTTAAAATTCAATTCAGAATTTCTAAAAACATTGTGTAGCGCTTCAAAACATTTTGGAAATTTCAGAACTATTTTGGAATGCCCCAAAACATTCAAAACCCGATTTAGGTCGCTACATCCAAAACACTCTAGATTAATCTTCAGAGACATTTTGAAAAGCATTAGAATCTTCAGGATTCAGGTTGAAAGTTGCAAAACGCCTTATTTCATCAAGCTTTCAAGAGCGAATTCAGATTGTTGCAAATCAGAATTTTCAGAAGAATTTTGGAACAATTGGAAACTTCAGAGTTATTTTAGAACAATTAGGATTCAATTTAGAACTGGAAACCTTTTTAGAACTCTTTTGAACCAATTTTACAACACTTTTGGAGCTTCAATAAGGCAATACTTAAAAATCTGTCGGAATTAATTTAGAAGTAAATAATTACCTTAAGATTCATATCAAGAAAAACCAACATCAGAATCTGATTTCAAGTTCTTCGTGATAATTCAAATGCCTACAAAGAATATTTATACCAGGATGGGCATCTACGCGTAAATAAAGATTGTCTAAGTTTTGGTGTAAACAACGCGTAGACAATGGGTAAACTATATAGGTCTGTTTCTGCAGAAACCACAAACCAGTCAGAGTTTCATTGGATGAAACTAGTTTTCTGACTGTTTTCAACCAATGAAATTCGCTCTGACTGGTTTGTGATTTCTGGGGTGCGTTCAAAGACGGCAATGCTAATGCCAAAACCTACTTTTCCCCCTCCACTGGTAATGCCGAACCACGTAGGTTGGAGCCAAACTTGAACGCAAAATGCCAATTTTGGCTTGGCTGTAGCCATTCCTGAACGCAGCCCTGCAGAAACAGACCTCAAACCCTATAGGCCTTTTCACGTGGGTCCGGTTTAAAAAATTCGAGTGGTAGGTATCCATCAAGGATGATACACACACTACTACTACAGGATGGCCTATCCTCATAAGGCCTGTGTGTAACAAATCTCCCCCCCCCCAACGCCAGTTGTGACGTAAGCAGCATGGCGTTTCTCGCCTTGACGTAGGCTGCTTAAACAGTTGACGACTTAGTTATGACGTCAGCAATGGTTGGAAACAGTTGAAAATCAATATGGCAGCGATTACCAAAAACGAGGCCGATAAGCACTTCTTATAGTGTGTATTCTCCTTGGGTATCCATCATGTCACTTTGTAACCGGGTTAGAAAAACGGTATGTCATTTCTCTAACCGTTTTGTAACCCGGTTAGTTTAAACCAGAGCCACGTGAAAAGAGCTTATGTAATCTACGCCTAAAGCCTAGTACTCATAACTGCGAAATTCGCATTTTTTTGACATTGCGTTGACAATTTGACGTTTTATGCGTGTATCAAACGTCAAATTGTCGAAGCAATGTCAAAAAAATGCGAATTTCGCAGTTATGAATAGGTACTAGGCTTAAGGGAGGATTTTCATGCATCCGTTTTTCCGACGAAATATGTCCGTTTAACATTCTATTCTGACATAATCGTATATAAATATGTCAAAATAGAAGACTTTTCGGACATATTTCGACGGAAAAACGGATGCATGAAAATCCTCCCTAAGGCCGGATTTTCATGCATCCGTTTGTCCGACGAAATATGTCCGAAAAATCTTCTATTTTGACATATTTTTATACGATTATGTCAGAATAGAATGTTTTTCGGACATCTTTCGTCGGACAAACGGATGCATGAAAATCCACCCTAAGTTCCGGTATCAACTGTCAGTACTGAATTTACTGGACGCCGTTCCGATTTTATTTTCAGTACACTGGATTCAGTCGAATCAGTACTGAATGACGACAAGAGTACGCTGTTGAAATCGGAACGGCAAATGACAGTAAAATCAGTACAGTAAATCCAGTACTGGCAGTTGATATCGGAA